TAAAATAAGCCAAAGGGCACTGTAATAAGCCAAAGGTAGCATCAAAAAACAGATGCTTTAAGTATTACATGAGCCTGCTTCCCTAAAATCGCATTCTTCATGGAGTACGATGGATYTAAACCTCCGTACTTCTCCATTCCATAGGCTCGGGGCATTATAAGTTTCTTTGCTTTTTTAGTCTCTAACGGTGAACCTCTGGCTCTACTACTTCAGATTGCCATTCTTTGACTAGAAAAACTTCCAAGACAGACAGAATTTGTTCAAGCTCGAACTCAACCCGGCCCGAACATCAGGTTTATAATTTGGGCCTGAGTCCAGACCTCATAAAAGCCCGAATACCGGGCCTAGGCCCGAAACCCGAACTAGAATCTCAGCAAGTCAGCACTTAGCAAGCCTCAATTTCCTTATTCATAGTAAAAATCCAYGAGTTTTTCCTATAATTGCAAAAGAATGAAATGTGAAGTGGACCAGTGAGTGGGTTGGAAAAAGCAAAATAGAGAGAGACCTGTGTTGCACCCCAACTTTATGCTATCCCCCCCAGCCCTTATGGTATTTATCAAAAAATAATATTTAATAATAATAAGAGAGAGACCTGTCCATAATGTCTTTCTCTGAATTCTATTTTTGTATCCAATATCTCTGCTACAAGCATTAACCATCTTATTTGATTCCAGGTCAGTGTTGTCTAATGTGGTGCGGTCTAATGACTGGTGAGTGCAGCGAGAAAAAGGAAAAACAGAGAGAGAGAGAGGTGACCGAACAAAGAAGAAAGGGGCGCTGGTGCTATATATTACTGACAAAGAAGAGAAGATCGATGTTGTTTGCAACCAGGAAAGTCAACTGAGGTATTCTGAGTCATATACAAGATGTAAATGTCATTCATGCAAGAAAATTGTACACGACCATCTTGATTTCACTTAAAACTGACTTGGATTGTAATCACCCTATTATTAGGATATATAGGTAGGTGGTAACTTAGGAGCCATGAGTATTTCCAACCTAAATGTGGAAAGGATCACATTACAATTATGCGTTAGAAGCATGTATTGGTTTCAGAATGATGGGGACACCAAATTGAGGTTGAAGAAGAATGTTATTTACTGGGGCATGCTTGTAATTAGGGGATAGAGTGAAGAAAAACCTTTGAAGGATCATAGCCATCCCAATCTTGGCCTCCAGCATTGCAAAATTTTGCCCGATACACACCCTAGGACCCATGGAGAAAGCAATAAGAGCGTTTGGGTGTTTTGCTGCCTTGGAGAACCCATCTGCAAACCTCAGTGGATTAAAATCATCTGCATCATCACCCCAATATTTCTTGTTCCGATGGATAATGGGGAAGGGGAATGTAACCACAGTGTCCTTTGGGATGGTCAAATCTCCTAGTTTAATGTCTTGGGCAGCCTTCCTCTCTGTGAAGATCACTGGACTATAGAGCCTTAAAGTTTCATAAAGAACCATGTTCATCTGCAAAACATAAACAAAAAATCAGTCATGCAAGCTTATTTCTATAACAATGTCCTTCTATCATCCAGTATCCATTAAGTTTTGATCAATTAGACCAACATATACAGGATCTGCTGGCCAACAAATATGAGAAATTAATCGTCATTAACCATATAGAAATAATATTTTGGGTAAATAAACAAGTGAATTGGTGTGATTACTCACATTTGCAATGAAGATGTCCCTGTGTTACTTTGGATGATTAATTTATGTTATGGATCTACGAGATGATTCAAAGCTATTATATACAGGCATCGGACAACATGCCCCACGAAGGAGGGGACATATATTACATATGCCTTGTCTCTTATGCATGTAAAAACTAGAATTGGGTACAAGAAGAGGGAGATATGGAATTAAGGATAATAGGACGGAGGCTAGAGGTAGTTTCTCTTATATATAGGTAGTGATGATGGACAAAATTACGGTTACCTGAGGAGCAAGTTTAATACAATACACACGACGACTAAAATATAGCTCACCAGCTTTAGCTTAGAAACCTTGTCAGCATCGGGGACACCAATTCCACAAACGGAAAGAACTTCTTCCCTGAGCCTCTTCTGCCACTCAAGGTCCTTTCCTAGAAAGAACATAGCCCATGTTAGCAGATTTGAGGTCGTCTCATGCCCAGCAAAGAAGAATGTCTTGCATTCATCTATAATCTCATTAACGGTCAAGCTTGAGCCCTGTTGCTTCTTAGAGTCTTCTGAAATTCCCATCATCAGTCCAAGTAGATCTTCCCCATAATCATGATTAGAGTCCCCAAGATCTGCCGTTCTTAGCTTGCTCTCAATTATTGACTTCAGTTTGTTTCTTAGCCTCTTCTCAAGCATCCACATTCGTCGATTCCATTTTGTTGGGATATATCTACATCAGAAACGGCATTAGATTGCCTAGTCTGTTAATTCTATTCATATATAATAATGGCAAAGTACTGAAATTGGTATGTTGCAACTTCAAAGATTAAAAAAAATGGATATGAGTGAAAAGGAAATAGAAAAGAATAGAAAATAAAATAAAATTTTATCAGAAAAATAGATATATGCTATAATTCCATCACAAGCTAGGGTACGTTGTCCACTACTCAGAAACATGAACTCGCATTCTCAAGCTTGTCAGCCCTAGAATTTACCATTGCAGAAAGCAATCCCCCCTTTAAAACATTGTTCCGGTAACGAAGAAAAGACTAAAAAGATAGAGGGATATTAGTAGTTACTCGCTTCCAGGTACGTAGACATCTGCCACGGAATCTATGACCATTCGGTGAA